AGTGCTATACGCAAGAAGGAAAAAAGCAGACTTTTCAAGACTTGGGACAAAGATTATGCCACATGTCCTGCGGACCTACAGCACTCACAGTGACCAAAACAAGGAAAGTTACTTTGGGCTTGTCAACCATGGGTGTTACTTGGTTAATCATGTTGGGCGCCAAACTGCTACAGGGCAACTCCGATATGAATTGGGTTGCCTGATTGTGGGTCCTCACCCACACACTTAAAAGGGACTTATTAATACTCAACTGCAGGCACACACAAAAGGTTAATAAAGGGTTTGTTTACAAAAGAAAGGGAAATGAAGAAATGAATAACTCAAGTAGAAAAAGAGGGAGATAAATTTGTGAATGCATCCTACCCATTTTGCTGAACTGGAATTCCAATGACCTGCTGGGAGCTGGCAAAAAGCCAAAAGCTGTGAGGCCGAGAGAGTGACCCAAGACCACATGTCTGGTTTTATCCCAAACATGGCCGCTTAACTCCATCCTCAGGTCCCAGCAACCTGCCCTTTGGTGATGATAGGATTTGTAGTTCACAGTGTCTTGATGGAGTGGGGGTAGAGTCCACAAAGCCTCCTAAACTCCACAAACTGTATGAAGTTTGTTCAGGACATCCTTGAGAGAGCAGTGCGGATAGTGACAATTATAGCTGATAACTTGACTTATATTTTCATTTTGCTCTTTTCCTTCCAAACTTGTCTGGTAACTTCTGCCCATTTTTATGGGTCCCTATCAGAGGGTGCTTTACCCTGGTGGTAAGATTTTGGGCCTCAGAGTCCCTGCTTTGGGAAAACCCTCTTTGGCTAGCATTTGCACACAAGGGGATGAGTAACTTGGGTGTTTGATTGGGGAATTGTTATCCATCCTCTCACTATGCACACCAGTCTATTAAAACCTTTTCACACTAAGAGTGTGTTTCTCTTTATGCAGCAGACGGCAGAACCCATTTAGCGCTTGCAAGCTTGAAGTTCTCAGAAAATTCATGAGACTGCACATTAACACCTCTACTAGAAGGTTAAAGGCTCAATCCCCACACTTATCAGAGTACATTTATTCACAGCCTAATGCATGCATCTGGGGAAAACAAAAAGAATCCCTTCTCCTGGCACTGAAGGGGTAATTCACGGGGTACAGGGAAGACAGCATTGCAATTTGTCACATCCAGGGCACTGGTGAAGTTGAGACATCAAAGAGCAAGTGGACCAGAACCTCAGACACACTCAGGAGGACAGGAGCGGGGAGCAGAGGCTGCTCCTGGCAGAGGTGCTGAGAAGCACTCCCAGCTCAGCTCTGACTCCCTGGGGGAACCCCACATTCCCTGGAACAAGCTGCACCTGCTGCTCAGCTCCTGCCCTGAGAGCCTCTTCCTGCTGAGGAGACCCTGACACAGGAGGAGTCTGGGGCTCAGAGTGGGGGGGACTCAAGGCTGAATCCCAGTGGGGAGGGGAGCACACAGCTGAAGCCTCCCCAGTGTCTGCTGAGAGAGAGCCCAGTTCTGAGTGAGGAGAGTGTCCACCATCGAGACCCTGTCCTTGTCTATCCCTGTGAGGCAGAGGCAGAAGGGGAGATGGGAGTCATGGGGAAGCATGTTCCCCTGAGATGCTTCCTGCAGCCTTGTGAGGAGGCTGTGTCTGGGGGGGGGGTGCAGCTGAGGGAGCATAGGGGTGCTGAGGAGCAGGAGCTTCACCCCTCACTGAGACGGGAGGGACAGGAAAGGAGGAGCCTGTCATGGAGGGAGCCTGGGAGAGACACCCCACCCCTCCTTCCTCCACAGGGGCCTCCTGCTCCAACCTAATAAGCAGCTGCATCAGGAAGCCCTAGTGTGATGGGTCCTCAGGGAGGGTCCTGCAGATCACACAGCAGCCATGACACAGGAGGGGATGGAAAGAGGGAGGGACAGACAGACGGACCAACACAAACAAGTACAGGGGGAAGCAGGAGGGCCCATCCCCACAGCAGGCCCTCTCTCTCCAGATCCACAGCCATCAGGCAGGTCACCCTGTGGGGCCACAGAGCCCCTGCCCCTTCTCCCACCCACTGGGACTGCAGAGCCTCCTGGGAACAGGGGTTCTCCTGGCCTGGGGTGGGTAGGAGGACCCAAAAGTTAGAACAGTTCTGAGGTGTGATAAATAAATCTGAAAGAAAATATCAAATAAAAAAAGAAAAAGAGCAATTAATGTCTATAGGGCAATAAGCTATAATCTTGAATTATCTTTCTACTGCCCAGGTAGCAAGTGACTTCACAGAAAACACATCCTTAATGAATGATAAAACCACAGGTAAACTATTATGCATTCCTTATAAAATTACATAAATTTATTTCCAATTACATAATCTCTGTAGTGGCAATGAAAGTCATGACACCCAACTTTTCACTTATTTGTAGGTTTGTAATAGTTTTTCTTAACAATAGAAGGAAAAACTTCATGAAAAATATTTGAGGGTGTAACAAAGCTGATTAAAAAAAAAATGACCAACATCCCATCGTAAGATCCAGAAGAAAAGCAGCACGACCAGGAGAGATGCGTGTCCTTGGCTGTGACTGGGGTGTCCCCTCCAGGGCTCATCCTGACACTGTGCAGGGGCAAAGGGACATGCTCCTGGGGTCCAGCTCCAGGTCACACAGGAGAACACATGTGGGATGTGGGCCAGGAAGCAATGAATGGGCCATGAGAGTGTCCACACCTGTGATTACTCAGCTCCACACACACAATTCACACATTTGAACACCCACACAACATAACGTATGCTTTTAACTATCAAGAGAAGCCTCCTTTACAACTGAACAGAAATTCCCTTTCCCCAAAATGAGGGGACAGGCAGCCCCAATCTTTGTAGCTAACATGGTTCTATTATTCATTTCTTAAATTTGCTCACAAAACCTTTATCTATTCTGTTCCCCAAAAACTATGCTATAAACGTAAATTGCAGTAACTTGTATAAAAGCGTAAGGGTAAGATGAGAAGTGAAGACAATGGTTAATAAATACAAATTAACACACACAAGAACAGAAATTGTTAAAAATACTATAATCTCTTTCAGGTAGTCAGTTACACACCATTACTGACATCTGACTCCTCCCCCAATCCCCCTTCTCAATCTTCCCCTCTCACCAGAACCAAGTCAATATCCCCTGGGGGAGGGATCACACCTTCCTCCCTGCAGGTCTGGGGCTCAGGATCCTGCTTCCTCTGGCAGCTGTGGTTCCCATGTGACCCTTTGGCACAGGATGTGGAAGGACCAAGTCCGCACAGTGGCACTCAGGTCCCAGGTCCCCAAGTCACCCCGATTCTGAAAGTCTCTTCTTCATTCTCATCTTAATTCAGGCAGCTGTTATGTGCTTTCCAAGTGGTGTTAATACAAAAGAGTAACCAGATCCTTCTCCTGAGTTCCCCAAATTAACACAACACAAGTTTATCACTGGTAATAGAAATTCACTGGGTTTGGGGAAAAAACAAAACAAAACAAAACAGGTGTATTTCTTCCATTCCAGAATAGGAAGCATATAACACAGAATGCTAGGCTTCTCTAAAAGTCCATCATCTACAATTTCCCCAAATATTTTGGAGGCCTAACATTTCTGGTCAGTCATTCTACACCCCTCAAAATAGATCTGGGGACACTCCATCAGCCTCTTGTTTCCTCCAAAGTCAAGTTGGATAAAATAAACTCCAATCAATTTAAGAGAATAATTCAGAGATGATCCCCTTTCTTGTCCTAACAGCATAAAAATCCCATGAAATATTTTCTTTACAAAATGAAAAATGATTGCTCATGGAGAAATTCATGATACACCAAATGGGTTCAAAGTAAGTCTCAGCACAGGCCTGACCTGACTGTTCTCTCAGCCATGGCCCAGGAATCTGCACCCAGAGCAGGAGGATGAGACACCAGCATCCAAGACTCACTCACAGGTTTGTTCACAGGGAACCTGCAGCCCCAAGAAGAGCCCAGGGCAGGGCTGGGCAGGGAGGGGCCTCATGGGGACACAGTCTCAGGGGTGCAGGGGAGGAGGGGGGCTTCAGGCCCTGGGGGAGCCCCATCCACACCAGAGCCTGAGGGGATCCCCTCCCCTGGAGGAACCACAGGATCCCCAGAGAAGGAGGATTGTTCATGGGCACAGAGGGCTTCTGGGGCCCAGCCTCCAGGGGGCAGAGGGTCATGGACACGTCTCCTGAAAAACAGATGAAATATGGAAGGAGAGTCCCAGAGAAGGTCTCAGGAGGGAAGGAGAAGATGTGGGAGCCATCAGTCATGTCGTAGAAGGAGACATCCCCCTGAGCATAGTCCAGGAAAACCCCCAACCTGTGGGGAACCTGCCTAAGCGGTAGGAAAATACAAGGTGTAGTATAGGCTAAAAAACTTGTTAATTGCTGCCCCAGAACCCAGAACCCAGATGGGAGGGTCGGAGTTCTGTATCTAGTTTTCTTATCTTTTCTCCAGACCCCTAGAGCCCAGTGGCAATCATCTCCACTCCTGACCTCTACTTCCCAGTAACAGCGCCCTGATATGATGCCCTCAAAACCCAAAACAGTCCGTCTGAAAGAAATCCCACAGTAAATAGAAGTCAGACTCTTCTTGTCATGAGAGAGTATGATTCCAGATGCAGAACTTGGATCCAGAGTTACAGACCCTGCAGAGAGAGGAACCCGTTATGAAAGTCCCCCCTCCATCCCAAAACAAGGGCACAAACCTTCTAACCCAGATACACAGCTACATGAGGAAAGGTATATAGTCTCTGAAATGAGAGCCTGGTGACTCTAGTTCACAGGACCCCATAAGAGGAGGATAGGTCAGATATGTCACAGGACCCCTGGGGACTGCCTGGACCCCAAGGACTAAAGAGTCCCTTCAACACCCATTACCAGTCACCCCCAGCCCAGCTGTATGACATCACAGCTGCACCCACCCCAACCCCACGGAAGGTGCAGAATCTGGGTCCACACAGAGAACAGAAGGAAAGGCCAGAAGTTGAGCAACCCCAGAGAGAACAGAGTCACTCACAGGCCTGGAACTGCTCCTTCCGCCAATCTGCAAGAGACACACATGACACGTGAGGGACTCTAGATACTGACATACCAGGGCCCATGCCTAGTTTTCTACAAGTGAGGGACACAGGATGGATAGGGGAAAATGTTTGGAAACCTTTACTTGATGCATCTAACTTTTAGCTACACATACAAACACACACACACACACACACATATCATGCATGCTGCAGCCTTCCATGACAGTTAAACCATAAAACTTGAAACCTAGGGATTGGGAGACTGGTCACCAACTGAACAAAGTGACCATCAGCTAATGCTTTCAAGTCATCGCCACATACACATCGTGCAAACTAGGTTTTCCTTCAAAAGTATTGTGGAGATTACAATGCCAAGGACTGCATGTACTTAAACTGAATGTGCAGCTTCTCTCTAAGTCATGGGTAAGAGGCTACACCCCAGCCATGCCTGTGAGCAGCCCAATGGTGTTGTCTTCTGGGACAGCAAAGGCCTGTGGAAGCCAGAGAACATGGAGGCTGATAGAGCTTTTCAGTGTTTCTGAATAAATCTTTGTCAATCAAATAAAAAAAAAGTGACAACTCGATGGAGCTGCACGTGGGGGTGACTGTGACATGATTGAGGAGACTCAGGACACTGCAGCAGAGGGCCCTTCCCACTCAGGAGGCCATGGAGTGGGTTCTAGGAAGAGATGTGCAAAGTAGGAAACATGGACACACACTGAGAAGATCGAAAACTAGGGACATCTCTCCATAATTTCATGGATAGTAAAAACAAAACCATCCCTATAGATAAAGACACAAAAATATTGAATTAACTCATTAGTTTCTTCGAAGAATAGCCAAAGGACATGCAAGCTTCCAAGAAAAACCTCTCTGAACAAGTAGAATAATGACTATATAGATGTCCATGTCCTAATCCCATGACCCTGTGATGATGTGTCCTTAATACAAGAAAGAGTAATATGCAGGTGAGATAAAGACAGGGACCTAGAAGCAGGTACATTATTGTGGATCATCAGGTGGAACCAAGCACATGAACATTAACAGCCATGACCCCCACACCTGTGCTCAGAGACAGTCACATGGTGATGGCAGCAGGGCCATAAAGAGACTGCATGGCAGGCTGTGTAGACAGAGGATGGGGTCCCTAGTCAATGCAGGGGGCATCAAAATCCTGGGAGAGGAAGGGGCTCCTGGAAAGAAGGAGCTGTCAGACACTGGATTTAGTCCCAGGACACGGTCTCAGGCGTCTGCCTGCAGGCTTGTGAGATGATAAACTGCGTGAGTGATGCTGCTCAGGGTGTGGTGACATGTGTCAGCAGCAGCTGGAGCTCTGATGCCCAGGTTGCGTGAGCAGGGCCTGATAGGGGAGGATCTGGGGGAGCACCAGGACCCCATGATGCATGTGGAGAGATGAGGACCCAGAAGTGTCACCTGCTCTGGGGGGAGATGGAGGGAGAGAGAGGGGTCTGGAGAGCAGGCAGGGAGGGAAGGATGGGTGTGGGGAGGGGACAAGGACTTGGGACAGGAGGAAGGAACCAGAAATTTTATCAATTTGCTGACCAGAGACAGAGACCCAGACTGTTGTGTTGACAACACCACACTGACCAACAGGAGTCATGGAGCAGGCAACAAATGTAGGATGATGCTAAAAGAGCCATTCGTTGATAGAATAATGATACATTGTCAATTACGACTGATAGGCTAACAAAGAAAACAGGATAGGTGAAACTAAAAAATGTGCATATATATCTAAGGTTTGGGGTGGGGGGAAGGTGAGTCTGCTGACATCCTCTTGATGACTCCTTAATAAGATGGAAACCACCCCCCAGGCCCCTACTCTTATTGACAAGGCGATCTGCTGATCAGTCTCATGCATCAGAAAATGGTCCCAAGGGCATTCCCTGTGTGGCTTCCCAACAGTGTGAGGAGAGAAGTGGAGAGAGGAGAATTCAGGATCGACATTTATAGAAATAATTAACATTTCTTGTACACTATGTATAAATGTGTGACCAGCAACTACACCTATGCAAGTTGAGTGGCATTTCCATCACGTTGAATTGCTTGATAAGAAACAAGATCATGTAAAATGATGGGGTGGCTCATGTGATGTCCTTGAAAAAAAAGATACTTTAAATTTATTTGTTTTCACCTGGACATTAGTTGACATCCAACTATAATATAATAACTCTTTCATACCACACAAAAAAAGACAGGGTAGAGAAGGAAAAGAAGAAGGGGCAAGGACAAAAAAAGAGAAGATAGAAGTGGCTTTTAATTTGAGATACAGCAGGTCAGGCACTGTTACGCATTTCAATTCACTAGTCAGTTAATTTTTATGGCAAACCATTAATTCAGAAACTGTTGTTCCATTTTATACATATGAATCTATTGGTGAACCTGTTGATATGAAAATGTTGATTCTGCTGTATTAATGGTATTACTTTAAAATTAAAAGGGGAACGTGCCATAAAAAAAGGATTATGTCAAAATGCATGAGACATAAATTCAGCAGAGACGGAAATGATGGTAAAGACAACTGTTTGATCCTCACTGGGTGGAAATAAATCCACAGGAGAATCAGTGACACTCTCTCAGGAGGGCCCTGCAGTTCTCAGATGGAGGCTACAGAGTGAGAGGAGACCAGGGACCCCACGCCTTCCTGGTGGGGGTCCCTGATAGAGAAGGGGCAGAGGGGAGTTTGGGAGGGGTCCCAGGCCCCTCAGGGCCACTCACCTGCATACAGCTGGGCCTTCCTCCAGGCTGGAAGGGAACACACAGGTGAGACCTCAGCACAACAAGCTGTTCATGTGATCCACAGGCCCTGGGCTCCCCCTGTTCTGCAGGTGAGACTCTCTGGGGGTGGAGGGGAGAGGCTGAGAGGTCATGACCTCCTGCCCTGTGCAGACAGCAGGGGGTGGTGGGAAATCCTGGCTCAGGTCAGGAGCCTGCAGGACAGACCCAGCCCTGCCTGCTGCTGCTGTGGGGCTTTGGGCAAGGGTATTGAGCCGCTCTGGCCTTCACAGCCTTCAAAGCCCCTGTTTTACTTGCTACTCCGTGTTTTTGCAAATATCAAAACTAATAAATGGGAAGATATTTTTAATGGATTTATTAGTCCATAATTATTATATTCAGTATTTCCTGGGAAATTAAAGGGAAGACAAAATAAAAACAACATGCACATCACACCAGCTCCAGAGTAGAAGTGGCTCATCTTCCTCCGATGCAATGTTTCTAGAGAAAAACACTCTCTGGGAGATACAAAGTCCCATGACCCCCTCCCATTCAGGGCAAATCCATCCTCTCCCATCACTATCAATCAGCATCTTCAGGAACAGGGAGAACAGATTGCTCTTAGGTGGTGTTTGGGGTGAGAGAGCAGGAGGAGGTCACACTCCTAAACTTAAAGAGCCCATTGATTTATAAGATCTCAGAGCAGCTACCTTCTGCTTTAGGCACTAACCAAGAATGAGAGGCACTGAAGGCTAGAAAACCAGTGCCATGCTGGGAAGGTCAGGGCTGGAATGAGACCAGGATGCAAGAGACTCCAGGGTCACCACCCTCCAGGATCCCAAGACTGGGGAGATGTAAGGGATAAAAGCACAGATCTGGGAGAGCCTAGGAGCAGGGTCCTGTCTCCCACCAGCACCCACTTCCATCCCAGGGAAGAGGTTCTTCATGCCTGAGCATAGACAGACAAGGGGAGGGACCTCTGGACACAGGGGAGACAGGAGACCCAGGATATCTGGAAAATCACTCACCAGCCAGATAAGCTGCCTTCCTCTCATCTGAAAAGCAACACAGGAAACAGATGAGCTAAGAACCAGAATGTCTCCTATGAAGGGGACACAGAGAGCTCAAGAGGAAGAACAGAACTTACTTAGAATTGTCTGCAGTTCATCTAAAAGAGAGAGAGAAAAAAAAAAGAAAAATCTTAAACTCCATCCCTATGATAAAAACTGAGCTAGAAAATGAACAGAAATGGATCTCTCTGTGTCCTGGAAGTTCCACCTTTAGACCCATTTGAGTCCCCAAGGTTCACTGTCCTCTCTAGGTCTCCTCAGCCACCTGCTCTGATCTCCCTGCAGAGTGGCCCTGGGCTCTGGCTCTGGTGTCAGCTTGGCCCTCTCAACACCCACTCACTGCCACACTCACCAGCCTGGCCCCTCTTCTGCTTTACCTCTGTCCTTCAGGGCCTCCTCCTTGGTCTGTCTGTCCTCCTCCTTAGTCTGGTGCAGAGTTCCCTGTTTCTGCAGCTCCCGCTTCTTTGTGGAATGTTCTCTCTGGGCATAGCAAGCAGCCCCCAGGAGCAGGAGCAGCAGCAAGGTCAGGATCACCAGGAAAGCAGGCTTCCAGGGAGAGGTCCTGGGGAAGAAGGGCTCTGCAGACAGAGACCCCACAGATACCCCATCAGTACACAGCCCAGGACAGCTCAGCCCACCACACCTGGGGGTGCCAGCCCCTCCCTCTGACCCTGCAGGGAGTGGGGAGGGGAAAGCAGTGCTGACCTGGGATGACAATGGTCATGGCCTTCTCCTGGTGCTTCATCCTGGGGTTGAGTATGGAGCAGGTCACAGTCCTTGTGGAGCGGTCTCTTACCACCAGAGCAGCCTCCACGCTGAATAGCCCCTCAGTATCCTTGGTGTAGACCTTGGAGAATTCCAAAAATTCCTCCCCATGGGGGTGTCTCCACTGAACCTGGGGCTCCGGGAACCAGCCCGAGGCCATGCACAGCACACGTAACCCCTCTTCCTCTGGCCCTGTGATGTGCACTTGTGGGGGAGAGCCCACACCTGGGGAGGGAAGATGAGATCCAGGTGAGGCAGGACCCTCTTGTGTACACCTCCAGGGGAGGCTATCAAGGTGCATTCTGGGGGGTCTGGGGGAGATCACCCCTGGAAGAGCAAGAGATGAAATAGTGCTGGGAAAACTGGGTCGCTACATGCAAAAGAATGAAGCTTGATTACTACCTCACACCATGAACAAAAACCAACTCAAAATGGATTAAAGGAGAGGGCGGATCAACATGGCGGCGAGGAGATGCTGCGAGTAAGATCTCCCATTAAAAAAAAGTTAATAGGGAGGAAAAGCGGCAGGTCCCAGTGAGAACTGGGACACGGAAGATAAACGGATGATTCCAGCAAAATACCCAAAGAAGAAAGTTGCCATAAAAAAGGACTAGAAGGGAGGAAAGCGCAGAACCCTGATACCCTCCCCCACCCACAGAGTCGGCACTCTCCAACCAAAAGAAAGGAGGAAAAAAACAAACTAAAACGAACAACAAGAACAAACTACGCATCAAGTGGGACTGTGAGTGGAAAGGAACTATTTCAGCCACCACACCCAGTGAACTGGAGCTGTGGAGAAACCTGAAGGATTTGCCGCGGAGGTGAGTGAACGGCTCCAGGCGCCATTAGAGAACAACAGAGACCCCCGGAGACTTTCACACAGCCCCAGGCCAGCGGGTAAGCTTGCATGGAGAAGTGGCTCACTTGAAAAGCAAACGCGTATCGCAGCTGCCCAGGTCCCCGCGCCTGCGACCTAGGCTTGCGGGGAGATGCGCGGGGCCCTCACTGAGGTGAATGTCCCTCACTGAGTAATAAGGAACCAGGCACCCAGGCACAGGAGCGGGGTGCAAAAGGCTCCATTTCTGCGGTCATTGAACTGGGCTACAGCCCACGTCCTGGACCTGAGGGCTTTGGAACTGAGACCTGGGGCACGAAATCCGGGGCATGGGTTCTCCACAACGGTGGGGCACAAGGCAGACACAGCACCCAAAGCCGTTGAGGTTTGCCCTACCATTCCCGCTCTGTTCCCTGTCCCACGGGGTGAAAAAAACAGCTCCCCAAGGACATGAGGAGAGATCTCTGGCGCCACCTAGCGACCAGAAAAAAAGGCACTAACACCACATAGAACAGGGACCTTTCTTCAGAAAAGACAGCTTGAAAATGGCAGAAGGCTCCCAGAGGAACCAGTGGCCAGCTAAGTTAGCCCACACCAGGCCCCTTCCGATCAGCAGTCTGAGCCTGCACGGGGAGCGGGAACTCACAGCCGGGGCAGACCGGGCACGCACAAGAGTGTGCCTGAGACCGGACACGCAAGGAGTGTGTCCTGCATCGCCATTTTAGAACAGGGACATTTCTTCAATAAAGACTGCCTGAAACCAGCAGAAAGCTCCCTCAGGAGTCAGAGGTGAGTGGGTAAGTTTGCCCATGCCAGGCCCCTTCTGGCCTGCAGTCCAAGCCCAGAGGGAGAGCGGAAACCCACCGCTGGGGCAGACCAGGCACACAGGGGAGTGTGTCCCCACAACGGCATTTTAGAACAGGGACCTTTCTTCAGTAAAGACTGCTTGACATCGACAGATGGCTCCCGGAGGAGCCAGAGGGGAGTGGAAAGGTTCACCCAAGATGCCGGCCAGTCCCAGCAACACAGTGTCCCAATGCATACAACAAATTAGAAAACAGACAGTAGGGAGAAGAACCACACGCAACCTAAAAACTCCTCAGGGAAAAAGCATACCACAAAAAGAAAACCACCCCCAGATTGCAATGACAGTAACTTGGAAGAACTTCTGAGCCTTCCAGAAAGAGAATTTAAAATTGCCATGATTAAAAAAGTGACAGAACTCATAAAGGAAAACAATGATATGAGAAAAATAATCAACAATCAGAAGAATGAAACTGAGTCCCTAAAGGGGGAAGCAAAAGAAACACAGGACATCAAAGAATTAATGGAGGAACTAAAGAACTCTGGGAAAAGCAATGAAAGCAGAATAGATGAAATGGAAGAACGAATAAGTACTCTTGAAGACACAGAAATAAAAAGAACCAAAACAGAAAAGGAAAGAGAAGTACGAAGGAAAAAGAACGAAGAAAGACTTCGGGAACTATCTGGCTCCATGAGGAAAGGAAATATAAGAGTTATAGGAATACCAGAAGGAGAGGAGAGAGATGTAGGAACAGAGAAAATATTCAAAGAGATAATTGAAGAGAACTTCTCAAATGTGAAGAAGGAGCTGAAAATTGATATACAAGAAGCAAGAAGAACACCAAACTTCCACAACGAAAGGAAAAACACAGCAAGACACATAATAGTAAATCTCCCAAGAATCCATAACAAGGAAAAAATAATGAAGATGACAAGAGGGAAGAAACAGATAACATACAAAGGAAAACTAATCAGGCTGACATCAGACTACTCCGAAGAAATACTACGGGCAAGGAGAGAGTGGAGGGACATAGTCAACAGACTCCAAGAAAACAGATGCCAACCAGGAATACTCTATCCCACAAAGCTCTCCTTCCTCTATGAAGAAAGAATAAGGACCTTCCCAGACAAACAGAAACTCTGGAATTTCATTACGACTAAACCCCCACTCCAAAAAATACTACAAGGAATCCTAAAGCCAGAACCTCAGAGGGACGAATAACAACGAAAGAAGGCCAAAAACAAAAAAAGTTATTAAAAGAATAAATAAATAAAATCAAAGGAAAGACAAACACAATGGCAAATACAGTAGCTAACATATCAATGTTAACTCTAAATGTAAATGGACTAAACTCTTCAATAAAATGACACAGAGTTGCAGGCTGGATTAAGAAACAAAACCCAAACTTAGGCTGTCTCCAGGAAACACATTTAGCTTCAAAAGATAAAAATAGACTCAAAGTTAAAGGATGGAAAACAATCCTACAAACAAATGGACCAAAAAGCAAGCAGGGACAGCTACACTTATATCAGATAAAACAGATTTCAAACTCAAAAAGATATAAAGAGACCCCAATGGTCACTACATTATGATCAAGGGGACAATACTTCAAGAAGAAATACACTCATTAACATATACTCACCAAACAAAGGAGCACCAAATATATATCAGACAACTGTTGTCATCTCTGAAAACAGACATCAGTGAAAACACATACATAGTGGGAGACTTCAACACACCACTATCAAAAATGGATAGATCAACAAAACAAAAAATAAGTAAAAAAAATAAAGTTCTAAATAAGGACCTAGAGCATTTGGGCTTAACAGACATCTATATAACACTACACACCCAAAAAACGGATTATACATTTTTCTCAAGTACACACGGATCATTCTCCAGGATCGATCACATACTGGGGCACAAGACAAACATCAACAGATACACCAAGTTTGAAATCATACCAACCATCTCTTCTGACCATGAAGGCATCATACTAGAAATAACCATAAAAAGAAGGCAAGGAACTCTCCTACCTCATGGAGATTAAAAACGACACTACTGGAAGACCACTGGACTAATGAGGAGATCAAAGAAGAAATTAAAAAATTCTTTGAAATGAATGACAAGGAGGACACCAATTTCCTAAATGTATGGGATGCAGCAAAAGCAGTAATAAGAGGAAAATATATAGCAATAGAGGCTCACATCAAGAAAAAAGAAAGAACTCAAGGAAACAACCTAATTTTGAAGCTCAAAGATCTAGAAAAAGAACAACAAAAAAATCCAAAACCAGTAGAAGAAAAGAAATAATAAAAACCAAAGCAGAAATAAATGAAATTGAAACTAAAAAAAATCCAAAAGATCAATGAAACCAAGAGCTGGTTCTTCGAAAAAATCAATAAAATAGACAAACCCTAGCCAGACTCACAAAGGAAAAAAGGGAGAAAGCACAAATAAACAGGATCATTTATGAAAGAGGAGAAATCACAACGGACACAGCAGAAATCAAAAGAATAATCAGTAACTACTATGAACAATTATATGGAAACAAGTTCAACAATCTAGAGGAGATGGACAAATTCCCACAACTCTACAATCACCCAAAGCTAGATAAAGAAGAATTAGAACACCTAAACAGACCAATTACCAGCAGCAAAATTGAAATGGTAATCAAAAACCTCTCCAAAAACAAAAGCCCAGGACCTGATGGATTTACAAATGAATTCTACCAAACATTCAGAGACAAATTAGTGCCTATCCTTCACAAACCCTTCCAAAAAATTGAGAAGGAAGGGACAATTCCAAACACGTTCTATGAAGCCAACATTACACTAATACCAAAACCGAACAAGGACAACACAAAAAAGGAAAACTACAGGCCAATCTCCCTAATGAACACTGATGCAAAAATCCTCAATAAAATTTTAGCTATCAGAATCCAACAATGTATCCATAAGATAATTCACCACGACCAAGTAGGATTCATTCCAGGGACACAAGGATGGTTCAACATCTGAAAATCAATCAACGTTATCCAACACATCAACAAAAAGAAATATAAAAACCATATGATAATATCAATAGATGCTGAGAAAGCTTTCAACAAAGTGCAACACCCATTCATGATTAAAGCCCTTGAAATTCTTGGGATACAAGGAACATAACTCAACATCATAAAGGCCATCTATGACAAGCCAACAGCCAGTATCATTCTCAATGGTGAAAAGCTGAAAGCAATTCCATTAAGATCTGGAACAAGACAAGGATGTCCACTCTCACCACTTTTTTTCAATATAATACTGGAAGTCCTAGCCAGAGCAATAAGACAAGAGAAAGACATACAAGGAATCCAAATAGGAAAAGAAGAAGTCAAACTATCACTATTTGCAGATGATATGATAATATACATAGAGAACCCCAAAAACTCCACAGAAAAACTAATTCAACTAATCAATCAGTTCAGTAAAGTGGCAGGATACAAAATCAACACGCAAAAGTCAGTAGCCTTCCTATACACAAACAATAAATCTGAAGAAGAAGAAATAAAAAAAATCCCTTTTATTTCGAAACAAAAAAATCAAA